CAACAAAGTGTAAAGCTTCAAGTTTGTGTAATTATTTACACATGATTTATTGCAAGAATGGGCTACATGATACCCTTGTAAAAGTATTTTAAACTGTATAAAAAAAATTGAAATCAATTGTGAAAATCCATTCCTTATATAGGACAGTCTCCCCTGTTTGGTAGAAGTGGATAAAAAAGCAAGTAAAAAATTTATATGCTGTATACTGTTATGAATAAGCAACAAGTTTTTGATTCGAAAAAAATAACAACAATTGCTTACTTACTCACAGACTAAATAAATTTGCCAAATTTGTGTTCACATTTATTGTCATGCATTTAAATAAATAATCATAAAAAAGATAGCATGCTAAAGGCAAAAATTTTCCCACTTGTAACATTCTGAGAATTGGATGAAGTGGTTTTTTATTTGATATCTTGATTGAATGTTCCCATTCAATAATTTCTTTTATGCCTGACTTCCAAAGAAAAGTTCTTGACATCTGGAAAATATAAAAAAATTTGTATGCATCAATTGTAAATTTAATAATAAAAAAGTGTAAAACTTACATCAAGACTGTAAGATTTATGTGATATTACATCAGCATCATAAGATTTATGCAAGTTTATGCTAAATTAATTTCCTGATGGAACTGTGTAACAATTCCAGAGTCACTTTCCTCCCTTTGGATTTTGAGTTATTGATACATGTGAAACCATGTATTATATTTCTTGAAATTAAGCCTCTTGTAAAGTTTTCATAAAGAGTGTACAAGATGTAGGATAGTTGAAATAAGCATCTATTTCACACATTATTATTTATATTGGTGTAATTAACATTATCAATGTTATTATCATTATTATCATCTAAGAATCATTAAATTCAAATTGATTCAAATTACCCAACACTAACTTTTGATTCATTTCATTGAATGTGAATTGTGCTTTAACTTGGTTCAATTCAAATCTATAAATGGTTTGATTTAATTTAATTTGGTTTGAATCTATATATCATATCAGATATCATTTTGTTTCATTCAGAGCCTTAATCACACATGGATTTGAAAAATTAAAATCTTTTGTTGTAATTTATTTTTTTTAATTATAATTATTATTACTATTAATTGAATTGAATCTATTCTATAATGTTGTTGTTGTTGTTATTATTATTATTGCACTGAAAATACTTTCAACAAACACTGTTCAAAATGGATAAATTATACCTGCTGTTATTTTTATTTTCTAGGAGGAAATATTTATTTATCTATTTGTTGTGCTGTGGATTAATTATTCAACTTTGTTATTTAGATTATGAACAAATAAATGGTCAGAACAAGAAAAGCTAAACCCTTATTGAACTTTATTTTTAAATTTATCACCCCAATTGTTTTAAATAATTTTTTTTTAAAGAAAAAATCAAATTTTGGGGGCCATCTTTAAAAAAAAAAGGCTTCAAGGCTCACCCAACCAGATAGTAAAAGAATCTTTCTATAGAATGATAGCTCTTATTATACATGTGGTACTCAATCAGGTGATTTTTTGATGGAGACATATGAAAAACATATAAATAATTGTACCAGACAGATGCAATTAGAGATTGAGATTTTGAGAATTGAGTCAACATATTTTGGGGAACAATTTGTACAGAAAAAATTTTCTTATATATAGCCAAAAAAAGCAAAGGCCATTCCAAAAAAGGAAAGTCATTCGCATTTTACTACAAATCACGTGATATATAATTTTGTAATTTCGATCATGTGATTTTACAAAATTAAAAATTATGAAACCGTTAATTTTATGGGGGGGTCAAGATTACAATCACGTTATTGAGGACCGCCATCATAAATACAAATAAAGAAATAAAATAATTTATTTCGATTGATTAATTAAATTTCTTAATGTTTGTAATTTGTTTATAGTTTCAAGAAGGAGCAACACTTTCAAATCGGACCAATCACTGCATAAAATAATGCATTGATCATTCCGATTCATTACTTGAAGAAATTCATCGAAAATGATGGAGGAATACTTTATGCTATCGTTTTTCAGATATATGTTTACCTAACTCTCTCTCTTTAATTTTTGTGCGTATTCTCTTTGAAGGAGAGCCTTTTGTACATTTAATAATCCTAATGATTCGATGTTTTTGGAATCCAAAAGTTTAACGTTAATTTTTTTTGCTCTGTCTACCATTTCTTTATTCCAATCTGATACTGAACTTGGTACACTATTTATTGCAGCTCGAATTTCATCCATTGATTGTTCCATTTCTCCAGTTTTTATTTGTTTATCTACTTCATTATAATTAAAGGCAACGTAACCACTATCGTTACTATTGGTTGCATTTTCTTCGACAACATTGAAATCAGCATTCTTATCATCACCAACATTAAAAGCAATACTCATAAGACCAATATCAACTGCCATATTATCTCCATCATTATTATCGTTAACGGTATCATCGTCATCATCATTTTCATGTGCGTCTTTTTTCTTTATTTTGTCAATGACGATTTTTACCTGATGTTTTAGTTGGTTTAAATAATTAAACAATTCGACTGCCTCAGCTTCTGCGACATTTCTCATTTCTTGGAATGTTTCATTTAGTTCCTTTGCTCTTTGTAATTTCTTTCTATCGCTATTAATTTTTGAGTATTGTTGTGCTATATTTTTTCTGATTTTGATTATGCTGTTTTCTCTGTGTTTTTGATATTCGGTATAACTACTTTCAAAAATGTTTCTTAAATCTGTTGTACCTCCAGCCTGATCTTTGGTTCTAGCTTTCTTTATAACCGTTTGGTGCTCCCGAACCCATTTTACCCATTCATTAAGACGAGCATTGGCTTGCGAGAAATGTCCTTTGCAGTACTACAAGTATATTTATGAGCGCATAAATATCAATATATATATATATATAAATATGAACGAACAATTAATTAATTGAATTGGAAATGTAAATATATATATAAAAGAAAACTTACAACAAAATATGGATCAACCATTTCAGGATTATTCTTCAATTCCAAAAGGTTATAATCGTGAGCACATGTTATGTGGATCCAATTTTGACAACCAGAAAAGTCACAACAAACTGTTGCACCTTGATTGGAAACTTCTTTTGGGCAAATGCAACATTTCTAAGAATAATAAATATACCATATTAATTAAAAAAAAATTTACATTGGTTACATGATGAAACTGTGATTAGTTCCAATATTATTATTCATTGTTACCTTTTTCCAATTCAACTCATTCACACTGTCGATTTTAACCTCGGTTAATTTCTGAGGATTTTCAATCAACATACCAGGCATCCACAATGCGCAAACTAGATGCACCCATCCATTTGTTTCAAATCCTTCTTCTTCTTTTAATCGGCGGAATGCGCCGGTCCTCTTTGGACATAAGATACATGCTACCACTTCAGACGATGTTGCAAGGCATTTATCACAATACCAAGGATCGCCTTCACTAGAAAAATTAGTGATACCGTAGCATTCTATAATAGGAAGAAAAAAATAAAAAATTATCGCAATATATGAGAAATAATGGCAATAGTAATAACAATAACAATAACGATAATGATAATCATACCTTGATGACAAACTACTTCACAATCTTCTTGACTGCATTGTATTAGCATATTTTGTCCGGTAGTTGCACCTTCAAGGCATATGCAACATATTTCCGGGACTCCATGTTTCTACAATTTTTTCAAATTTATATACAGAAATTATACTTAATTCTTACGATATCATGTATATATAAGTATATGACTTAATCCTACATACCCATTTGCTTACGGAATTTGTATTTGCGATTGGTCTTTTATTAGGCATTTTTTGTTTTTTTTTTATTATTTTTATTTTTTTGAAAGATAAAAAATTGTAGAAAATGGGATTATCAAAACCTTATTTTTTTTTTTTCGGGGCCCTCTTAAATATTGCGAAAAAAACTGCCTTTTTTAAAAATTTAATATTCATACAATTAGTTAAATACTATAGATGGGTGTGTCTAAACTAAATTATTTAGACAATGTCTAAAATATAAATTAATCGTGGTCTCAATTGTCTAAAATGCTGAAATTGAATTTTTTTTTATTGGATAATTTACTGAATTTGTGGATTTGTGAAAACAATTTAGACGCCCATCTATATTAAATACGAACGAAATCAAAATTACGCTCGAAATTGAAAAAAAAATAAAAATAAAAATAAAAATGACAACAATGATCTTAATCTCAATCAAAATCAAAATCAAAAAATCAAAAAATCAAAATCAAAATAAATATTGAGGTTTCATATCACATTGGGGTGGTTGGCTAACAATACTACTTTCGTTGCTGATTATCTACAATCAACAGCACAGTTTTGGAACTCGAGATATTTTTTAAAAAATTTTTATATTTATTGTTTTAATAATTTATTATAATAATATTTATATCAAAGAACCTACACACACGGGAGGCATCATTTAAGATTACTGAATCACTCATTTAATTCAATTGTGATATGTGATATGACAAATTAAATCTGGTATTGATTTAATATTTCGCAATACCTGTTACTATATAATATTATTATAAGGATTTGTAACAAAAAATAATAATAAATGATCAATAAATACTACAAAATATAAAATTAAACAATACAAATATTATACCACGTACTCATTAATATAATTATCAAATCGGTGAAAATAAATTTTGTCTTATTCCCGGATATCTTCTATTCAAACATTCAAACAGAGGATAACAAGGTTGCAACGAATGATGTATAAAGGTTTGAAAGACTTGAAAGATTTAATAACAATTTCATTCCAATAAAATGGGTTCCAAATTATCGTATTCGGTGGTAATTCCTGGTTTTCAGATAATGCAACAATGTAATTACTTCAGCCGCAGCGGTTCAGTTGACCGATCACGTAAATATTTGGCAATAAGCTTTTGTTTGCCACTGGTCTCTTAATAAAAATCTTTGCAGTTGCTCGTTAACAACGATCACTAGATCTAAAATTAACAATTACATTTTAGATATAAAATCATATAAAAAGTCATTTTATTCTTTTTGCTTCTAATAATACATCAGAATTATTTATCTGGTCAACGTATTGATATTTTACCCCAAATCACCGCTGCCTCTGCTTCAAGCTCATCCAAATGATCTACAAGTTTTATAAATTTAATGTTTAGATCATATAAAAATAATATAAATCTAATGAAATAATATATTTACTCAAAGTATTCATTCAAAGCTGACACCAATCTTTATCTATTATTTTAAATGAAATATCATTTGATGGACCTGATACAAAATATACATTGATTAATTGGCCTACACTTACAATAAGATCAATATATCTTTTGACATATCTATAATTCTTGCTCCCTCTCTCTTTTTGCTAGCGATTCATCATACAAATATAATTTTGATACTGTAATTACTGTAGATAAGAACCTGATCTCGTAAAGAATGTCTTGATGAATCAACTAATGCATCTACCGCCACCATTTCAACACTTACATAACCCATCGCTCTTATGACTAACGCTCTTATTAAAGGATTATGTATGATCTTCTCAAATATATACATGTATATATGTATAGTTTTATTATGCAATAGTATATTTTTGAGAACTGAATGATATAACAATATTAAATTACCTTGATTAAAGCAGGTATAGCCATAATAGCAATGTCAGGGATAAAAGAAACCATTTTTAACTTCTAATACGGGAAGGAATTACATCTGAAAAATAAAATTGGAATGTTATTGTCCATTGTCATATTGGCTGCTATCTTTTTAAGCACTGCTTCCTTTTTTTACATGTTGCCTGTCTTTTTTTTTCCGAATTTAATTCATTGCGAAGTTCTTGGATTTTATCCAAATTTGTAATATCATTTATGATTCATCATCAATGTATTTTTAGTGTGACGAGGAAAATCAAACAAATCTTCAATTTTTTTTGTTCTTTGAATAAAAATTTTGAAATTTTGAAAATGCTTGACGATCTTATTATTTATTGTGTAGAGGAAATCGCCTTTGAAGGAAACGAAGGTTGGATTCAATCATTACTTAAAAAAATCTTTATTAATTTTCTACATATTAGTTAATTCGATGAATTACTTTTAAAAAATATCATTTGTAAAATTCAATAGGTTGTGAGATTGATAAATTATGGGAATTTGTTCAGGACTTTTTCAATCAACGTTCCAAGAAAATAGAACATACTTTCTTACCGAACTTTTCCCAAATACCTAATATTGATGACTCCTTTAAAGAGTTTTGTTGGAAGGAGTTTGTTGATGTAAATAATTTGGAGTTTGGAGTGTGTACTCCAAACACAATTCAACAGCAAACAACCAAATCAACAAAAAAAAACACACAAAATAACTCTAAAATAGTAAATTGACATTTTATATTGTTATATTAAAAAAGCATCAGATAGCAGTATTTATTTATATATCTTTTTACATTGCGATAGGATGAACTATTTAAATTTGAAGAAGTCAATGTCAATGATATGACAATACAAGATATTAAAGATGAATATGGTGAAAATTTTAGGATAAGAGCTTCTCCTGAATTCCAGAAAGAAATAATTTATGGACAAGTTGATGTATGCAGTTATTTTACAATTGATTCGATAATTATCTTTTTTTATCAAGGATCTTAAAATATCTAATTTCCATTATTATTATTATCATCATCATCATGATCATTATAATCGATTAGACAACAAGAACTGTTACAGCACAAGCTTATAAAATTTTACAACTTATTGCAAAACAAAGAAGCTTGGGTGCAACACAATCTGATATGTCAAAAGAATTGAAAATAGATCCAAGATCATTTTTTCATTATTTAAAAACTCTTTGTAATTATGGATTGATGTAAGTCTATTTAAAAAAAAATTTTTTTCCTTGTAGAATTTATAGATAATTCTAATCAAAAATCTTTGTCATTGTTATGATCAAGTGTTAAACTTCCAGTCGTTACAAAAGGGATACATACAAATCTTTGCATTTTAAAAAGGTGTGCATCACAAAATCCTGCTTATTCAGGAAAAACTGTTTATTTGCCCTCAAGAAAAACAATCGCAAATTTGAAACCGGGTGAACCAGCGTTTACCTTTGATCCAACTGATAAAATAAGTTGCGGTGTATCTTTCAATTCTGAATTAATAAGGATAAGAATGACTGAAATTTTAAGCAAGGCTAAAAATAAAGTTATGTTGGCAACAGATTTAATGATGATGTTGGTTAGTTTTTTTTTTCCATTTTAAATTTACAATCATTGTTGTTTAATTATTATAAATTCGTTTTAAATTATTTTCCATTTAATTATTCAAGTATGGAGTTCATAATCCAACCAGGAAACAACGTCGATTTTTTAATCGAACAACGGGAATTTTAACTGCCCAAGGATTTATTGAAAAAATACATGTCCCAAAAAAAAACGCATTCAAACAAATGGAACGGTGTTTTAGACTCATCAAATTATATGAAAAAATTAAAGAATCTGATTTGGGTTTGTATCTTTATTTAACTTAATTTATAGAGCATGTTAATATATAATTTTGTAATAACGCATCTGTTCCTAACAAGATAAAGGAAAGAAGCTTGCTTTGACAACCACCGAAAAAAATTCTTCAAAATTGCAAATAAGTTTACAAAAATTAATACCTGGAATGCTAACTGAATTACCTTTGGATTATCAAGTTTATCAATTGATCCAATACGCTGGAAACCAAGGAATAACTGCTGCTGTTAGTTCAGAAATTATTAAGCTAACTTTTTCAAAAAAATATATAATCTGTTGTTAATAATTATCAATATATATATATATATATACATATTCATACATACATACATAATATTATTTAGGCAATTCAAAAAACTCTTGATAAAATTAATAATCGTTACCTTTCTAAAATTTTGGACCGGCTTATTAAACCACCACCAAAATCGATGCAACATTTTGCAATTAGGCGTGCTTCTGAATTTGAAGGAAGAATAAGGCGCTACCGGTATTTCTCATTGGAAGCATTTAAAAAATTTGCATCAGATAATAAGCTTCAATTATCAGATGATGAAAAAATTGAACTAGAGGCGGTACAGCCTCTGGAATCTCAACTTTGCTGGGATCCATTAATAAATATTGTTCAATGTTATGAATATGGAAATATGGAAGTCGATGATGATTTCTTGCCAGATAAAAAAACTAGAGAACGCCGTCTAAAGAGGAAAAAGAAAAAATTGCTCGGCAACAATAATAATGAAGTTGTTGCTACGGTTGAACCAGAAGTTCCTAAAAAAAGAGGACGTCCAAGAAACAATGATACAGACGCATCATCATCGAAAACTAAAAAAGTTAAATTGGGACGCCCCAAAAAAAAGGATACCGGCACATCATCATTGTCAATTAGTCAACTTGAAAATAAAAAAGTTAAATTGGGACGTCTAAGAAAAAAAAATACTGGCGTATCAACATCAACATCAACATCAACATCAACATCAACATCAACATCAACACCAACACCAACACCAACATCAACATCAACATCAACAACACCATCAACATCAACATCAACAACAACAACAACATCAACATCAACACCAACAACAACAACAACAACAACAACAACAACAACACCAATAACAACAACAACAACAACAACATCTCCTACTAGTAATAATATTAATGATAATACTGAAAATACTTCATCGAATGATGCACAAATTCAATTATCAGCAAAAAAAAAAATTTACTTTACTACATCTATTACGATATCATTACGGCAAAAGATATTGACCCAACTCTTGGAGGAACACAAGGTAATGGAATGTAGTGCAGATCTTGTGAAAACTTATCAACAAGCTTTAACAAAAGAAAGCGGTAATGTAACATCTATGCACGTAATTGACAAAAAAACTTTGGCTAGAACTGGTAATGCAATGGAAGCAAAAGGACTTCTAAAACTATATAATGTGTCATTACCTTTATTGAATGGAAATTCTCAAAATAAATTGTTATTTCTTCATCCAAGCATGACATCCTCAAGTCCTCAAGTAAAAGAATATGTCGCAAGACTAAAAGATAAAGCAATACTTATAGGAAAATCATGCAAGCCAACTAGGATCGAGGATATGAATCTTGAAGTAGAGCCATTATCAGAGATGCAAAAACGTTTTGCAACTGAAGCTGCAGCTGCTAATAAAGATGATCATCAACTTTTAATTAACAGTGATAACAACAATAACAATAACGATAACAATATAGCTCAATCCAATGAGATGTGGTGGCTTCATACTGCACGAAATTATGGTTGGATCAACGCCAAAATGATTCGTGCCAAAATTTTACATCAATACCTAATTTCTAAATTCAATGATGAATCACCTAATAACACATGCATTAATAAAATCAATAGAACATTTCAAACCATAATTTTACTTCGTGATATGCCATTAGACATATATTTGAAGATTATAGGTCAAACAATTCCCAGTGAACCATTGACCGAATATGTTTGTTCTGGCCAGAGCATGTCTGTGAGTATTATTGACTTGCCTAATGAAATCCGTTCATCAATCTTTTCAGGAAATTATAAATTTCGACAAAGTTTAAAGAGATTGATTGATATTTTGGTAGCTTTGAAAATTCTTAAACCAATTCGTCGAGACTTTGATGAAAATGGTAATTCAATTTTAGATGTTAGCAATAATGAGTCAATAGAATGGTCATTGTCAAATGCAACAATATGTAGTCCACCGCAAACATTGTTGGCACCAGCCTATCAACTCATTTATAATGTCCCGATGATCGATTTTTCCATTCCTGGCGTTAATAGACCTATCATACGAAATTATCCGCTAGACACGATAGAAGATGTTTCAATTTATTGGAGCGAATTGCAATATGTCGCTCAACAAAAAATAGCAGAAGTAGCAGCAAATAAAAGTGATGAAGAGGAAGATATTAGTGAGTCTGAGGATGCAGGTCAAGAAGCTTCTGAAAAAAGTGTACAAAAGAAAGGCAAAGCATCCTCTCAAAATCTAGAACCTGATCCTTTGAGATTTATTACTTCATCTTGTAATTGGAATTCTGGTTATCCATTGACAGCTAGACAAAAGAAACACCTTGATCATTATGTTGATAGTAAAAAGTCTAAAACACCATTTGAAGATGACGTTTTGTGTCGTCAAATTGCACAAGAGTCTAGCCTTCCATTTCAAAGAGTAAAAGCATATTTTAGAAGAATTGATGAAAGCTTTGAAAAGAAAAACAAAGAAGCCAAGGCAGCAAAACAAAGAGAAAGAAGAAACAAAGTTGCCGCAAGATCCAAGAATTATGTTGGTATTATTGCATCAGCAAATGGTGAACCGACCTTCAGAAGAAAAAGGAAAGTAACAAATGGTAATAATAAGTCTGGACTAAAAAAATCGACAAATGATTATCAAAATCTTGGTGAAAATAAAGATGTCTTTCAATATGATAAAACTAAAAAAAAGAAACATCAAGATAAACAAGATTATAATGAGGAACAAGGTTCGGCCACTATTGCTGATGAAGGTAATTTTAATTTTCTTTTATATATATATATATATACACATGTATATACAAATAAAAAAACTCGAATTCTGATAAAAAATATTTTTGGATTTATTACCAAAGATGAAAATAACTCACAACGACGTCCTGTCTGGTCTACTCAGGAAGATGAAATTCTTCTTTACGCTTATGTCATTCTTAAAATTCGATCACAAAAATTTAGATTCTTATGGGGAGCAGTATTAAAATTATTTCCAGAGAAAACCAACGAGATGTGTCGCCGTAGAGTAAATGTTTTAATGAGAAATGCAGCTACTGTTGAATATATAAATTATTTGATGAGTAGATGGGAAAAAATATATAAAGAGGGTGTGAAGAAAGGGGAAATTATTGATCCGCATTATTCCGAAATGATAGAGTTTGATCTTCCAGAACAAGTAGATTATTTCATAAAAGCATTACAAAATTTGTCAAGGTTAGATTTCATATTTCAATATTCGAATGATAATTTTATTTATATTAATTTCTAATTATTGTTTCTAATAATATTCTTAAAGAAATGATGAACCAATTCCAATAATTTTATTGCCTTCTGATATCCAAACTTTATATAAGCATTTCGTAATTTTATATTCATCACCAACTCATAATCAGGATATATATTACGAGGATAAACTTTCAGGGTCCTCATTAAGAAAAAAAATGAGCACTCTATATTCTCATTCTTTTACATGCCGATTTAATAATCAAAACAGCATAGACTATTTTAATATTGAAAATCTTACAGAGAAAGATATTAAATTAGAGGCAATTCAAGCATTAATTAAGGTAATAAGAAAATTAAAAAACACACAAGAGTTTTTTTGAGTCCATTTTATAATACTTTTATTTTATTATTATTGTAGATCATTCTTATGACACCAGAAGATCAATATGATTCTTCACATGCTTTCTCCATTCTAAACTATTATCCAGAGGTGCTTGTAACCGAGTCTCTTGAATTGATTAAAGATACGGGTGTAATTGTTAGAGTAAAAGCAGGAAATGATAGAAGAGTACCTGGAAGAGGATATCATGTTTCTGACAAGTAAGTTATAAACTTTCTTCAAGGTATACAATATGTATATTATATTCATACATGATAATAATAATTTATTTCTTTAATTATACACAGGTTTTTGTCAGTGATCTCTGGTTCATTGCCGGATAGATTTTTTTCTCAAGCCATTGATTTCTATAGAAAATTCAATGATGTTATTCTATTTGAAAGATTTTCAAATAGTGGTACAATGGCGTGTATATTGGATTTGTTATCTTCACACAAGGTAATCAATAATATAATATTTTGAATTTTTATTATGATTAAAAATCTTTTTTTGAAAATCTATATATGTATGTATATATATATAGCTTACCCTATCACCAGCCAATCCAAATGACACTTTGTTTACAAAATGTGTTATCCCAGATCATAGAAGTAGAAAAATTGGTTTGTATTTGTTCAAAATTAGAATGAATTAACAAAACATAATTAATTAAGCCGGGGGGTTTTTTTTTAATGAATTAGAACCATCACGACTCCATTATGACTTATTTTTAAAACCTAATCTGAACGCCTTTAAAGAAAGAAATAACAATAAAAATATTGAGAACAAGCTTATCAAGAATATATATTTGGTTAAAGACAAGGATGAAGCTTTAACTATTTTAAAAACATTACTTGATTGTCTAGATCAAGAATCGCAAGAAGGTGTTAAAGATGTTTTTGAAACCATTCTTAGTTCCAATCAATTGGGTATTTCATTAATATCATTAAAGGTAAATTTATGATAGAATTATAATCATATTTGTAAAATTCATTACCTTATTAATTTCAAATATATATATTATTTTTTAAAGGAGCACCTTGATATACCTAATGATGATTTATTGAGATATATTGGTCTGTTAGAATCACAAAATCCAAGTCTAATAATGAATGTAGGCTTTAATAATTCTCGTTACGTGTGCACATTTTACGCAAAACTTTGGTTAGTAAAAACAAGTCGAGCACCTGTGTCTAATCCAGCAAAAAGAGTAAAATATGATTACACGATAACAGAAAATGCTTTACATGTTGGAACAAACTCAACAACAATTCAATCAACTGGTACTAGTGGTAACAGATTAGAAACAAAGTATCATCAACAAGATGAAACTTATACTTTGACTAGAATGTGGTGTGATATTAATGGAAATTTTATTGAATCAGTTTTTCGTGGTTGTCTTGAAGCTGTGCTTGGAACAATAATTCAGAAACCTGGAATCTATGAGGTATGTATTTATATACACATTTATTATATATATATATTATTTGTCTTCTATTGGCTAAAATTATAATGACAAAAATTTAGTCAAATATATATCGAAAACTCGCACTTGTTATGTCACGTTGTGAAATTCAAGATATATTGGATGAATTGACAACAAGAAAAGCTGTAATGAAAACATCTTTTATAAAGCCTCCGAAAGTTACATTGTTTTCCAAACCACGAGAATTTAAAAATTGTGGTACGTACCATCCGTTATTTATGTATATATTTTTTAAACCTTGAGAATACATATAAATTAAAAAAAATTTCTATTTTTTGGATTAGACGCTACTTGTATAGATCCAAACAAAATCACTTGTTATTGGCCACAAAATGAATATTACCTTCTGTTAAAAAATAATTGTTACACGTAACTTCAATTCGAATTAAATTTTTTATTAATAAATTACAAGTTAAATAATTTCATATTCAATCTGAGAAATGCCTTAATACCGATTGTAAGAAGTTAGCCTTTATATAATTTTCCAAAACAATTATTATCAATCAGATAAATATAAAAGATATTAATTAGTGTTATCTTTGATACTTAATTGGAATTCACAGGTTGGGGAGATTTGTGGATTTATCTTGCTGGTGTAAACACAGAATCTGGAATTACACCAATATTTAATAATTTCATTTATTTGGATTTGAAGCATCCATGATAATCCCATATAAAGTTTTGGATTATTATTTATACTCCTGTACCATGTGCAATATTGGCTAATTGGTTATTGACCTAATGACATCCAAAAACATCCTCAGCGATACTTTAATTTTTGATAAATAATTTGAAAATCCCATTATTAAAGATATTCTTTTGTAATATCGGTCATTTTTAAACTAAAAATTATCATTAACTAATAATCGAAAATTCCATCAGAAATCTTGCAACGTCTCTAACATTCATACAAGTAGCTCTATATATAGTTGCAAATCCACTTCACCTAAAGAAACCAATATTCATTATTAAATACTGCACTTTTAATCCCAATCCTTAGTTAATAATTGTGATCACAAGATTGACGCCAAAAATTGTTATCTTTTTTGTAATCTGCCTAATTTATCATTTGCGCCAATATTTTCAACTTGCATAATGTTCTAATTTTAAATATTATTTTTTCATTTCCTCCAATATAATAAAATAAGCGAGTAGCAGCAGCACAATTGTTTGTATCAATGTAATAGTACAGCGCCGCCGAATCAAATTTGTTGTTGGTTGGTAGGCACGTTCTATCGCTATTTCAGAAACAACCAATACCGTATCAAATTTACAAATTTCAATGCTGGATACTCTATCGTAAAATGATAGTATTATTGCTTGATCAATCTACTGATTATTTTGCCAATGCCTCCAACTGGAACTGGATCATTTAGTATCACGATTGGTTCCATTCCTGAACAGACACAATTTATACTCGGATGTGTTTTGAATATACGTGTTTTAGTGTATATAAGTACTATATTTACTGTATGGGTGTATGATTTTAAAGTATTCCCTCAATCTATCGTCTATATCATCTTGAATGAATTTTACTCATTAAAAAACTCACCATTATCGCTTTTAAGCATTTTTCAATAAGTTTTCCCAAATTAACGAAATATTTTCAGATTACTAATATTAATGATCTGCAATCTGTTTTTTAGATTATAAAAATAATGATACTAATACAGTGTATGTAGTATTGGTGTAAAGAAATGTGCAGTGAGAAAATAATAGCAAAAAAAGAAAATTTTATTGACGCGCGAGACAAAAGGCAAAAAATGCGTCATTGAGGAATAAGTGAGCAAAGATAAGTGGCTCAGTAAATTTTTTCCACATGGAAATACAGGTAAACGAATGAGAAGAAGAAAAAAATAATTTAGAATGATACAATATCTTGAACAAACCAAGAAAAGAATAGCATCAATGAAATACTTATTTTTAGCTCTTCACTATATTCTTCGAAGCTAAAGGTAATAAGTAGTAGGTAGGCATTTTGAAAAAAAATTACGGTAACAGGAAAAAAATGAATTATTTTTAAAATAAAAGTTAAGCATTGGAAAAGTAGATATGGTAATGCCAGTAATAAAATGGATAGTCAGTCAGTAGAGATTCCGTATGACTTTCAATTCCGTACAATATTTTTTTTTGCTCCGTACATTTTTTTCCTACGTT